ATCTCAGGTCAGCATCTTGAAGATCCTACGAAACTGTATCCTCTATGACAAAAAAATTAACAACTAACAACGAGAATAATTGAGATGGTCACGTTAGGTGAATCACCCTGCATGTGCTTTTATGCTATACATAATATTTCATGAGTTTCAAATTTTACCTCCATTTGCAATCGTGCCAATTGGTCGCTTTCCTTTTCGCGAATTTAGATAGTCAAATTCTAAAATACTTGTCAATTTCTAAACTCAGTGTAATCGCTTATGTGTTCAAATTTCAAATTAGAATGTAAAGTATAAAATTCCTAAATAAAAGCTCGTGGTATCCCTCCTACATTGAAGAACAACGAAAACAACGGCAGCCAAGAATTTTCGAAGTTCCCGAACAATTGAATGAAGAAAAATATAATACGTGTGAAAACGAACTATGTTGTCGCAGCGTACGCCAATTTACGCGTGGAGTGAATTCTGGTCGATCAACAGCGGGGACCCTAGACTGGCACAGACTGAAGTGGCGGGCCGGTGAGGAGGAACGAGGCGGAGGACACACCCCCCGCGAACTCGAACATGAATTAAAGTTTTAATTTCTCTAAATCACTGTTCGCCCTCGAGCGCTTTCCACCAGACGGTCCGTTACTTATAGCCTTTGCCCTTTTTACCGCCTTCTTTTTCCCCATTCGCCTCGATCTTACCACCGTCCGACCCTCGCCAATCGGCGGAAATCGATATGCACTTATCCGATGACTCTTCAGACCCCAGGCCCCCCTTTTTTTCCTCCTCCTTCCCTTTTTTCCTCTCGACCGTACCTCCGCCAGGCATAACAGCCAGAAATCGCGAGAGATTTAAATTTCCTGGAACACCGATCGTGGTTAACATCCCTTAAGAAAGCACTCGGAACCAATCGAGGCTTGAAATGACTGTTCGGAAAATTCTCTCGAAAACTGCTCAAAATTTCAGCTCCACCGAGGAACAAATATCAGTGAAATATCCTATTAATTAAAATTCCAATGAAATTTAGCACGTTAACTGCCACACGACGCACAGTGGTGCCATTTCGCGAAAAGCTGGCCAAAATTTTGGCCAGTCTTACTTAACAATGGGTCCAAGATTATAACTTGACGATGTTTCGGCTTGGAGCGGTCAGTTCAATACATTTCTGAAAGATTTAAACGAAACTTGCACTCTATTAGTCAATGAACAATTCGGAAAATAATGAATTTTCACAAAAATTAAGTTAAAAACAACGTTTACACCTTCATTTTGAACGTTACATTCTTGTTACGATATTCGAATTCAGCAACTCCAGAAACATAAGAGTACCAGTTCTAATGAAAATCGAACGAACTTACGAATTATGGCCAGCCTTTCGTGAAATAGCACCACTGTGCAACGCGGCAGTTAACGTATCAACGAATTAACGAGTAGAAAAATGATTTCAGGATAATACTGTAGTATCTGGACATTTTAGCAGTTAAGTAGTTTCAAGTTGAAAGGCACCGCGTGGAGTAAAGTACGACCGGAGAGGACAGCATGCCCGGTTCTCAGGAAGAACCCATGCGATTGGCAGGCCCAGGACGCGTTCTGGGTTCGCTCGAGGAAAGGGGGTGATTTTTACTTTTAATAGAAGTGAGGCGGGTGAGGAACGCCGTTGCACTGTTTTCACCTCAATTTATTAAAATCTAAATGCGATGGTCGGCGTACAATTCGCCCGGAAAATACAATTGTTTCATTCGCTAATTGTCCCTGCGGCAGCGGTTCGGCGGGTACGTCTCGGTGGCTGGTGAAGGAAAAACTGAACTGGAGGTGTAGGCGTACTGGGTTTTTATATTGTTAGGACAGGGAGACAGGAGTAGAGGTAGATAAAGATAAGAGTAGAGAAAGTGGTGGAAACGGAAAATTTGTAGAAAGCGGGGCCGTTCGTCCTCGTGCAAACCTGGATGCCACATGTGCGCTTCTTAGGCTACTCGAGGACGAAGGCAAGTCTTAACCCGGGGAGAGACAAAGGAACGGAAACTAAAATCTGAAGGAGTTGGAAAAGAGACAGTTCGCGTGGAAGAATAGAACAAGGTTCGGTAAGGGCTTGCTGGCAGTGGCGTACCCGCCACAGTTGCTTTACTCATAGACGTGTTCTACAGTCATTACAACGCCTACAGGTAGTGAATAATCTACAGGTTTTTTTTTTACAATTTTGATTGTCCTCAGAATCGTATGTTGTGTGATTGGATTTGGGTAGGTTTTTCCTTTTTTTTCCAGGAACGGGCTATTCCGTTTGGAATAGTTTGTGTTACGATTGTGTAGGATCTTGTTTGGTGTTTCCGAAAAACTGGGGAGCCCTTTTGCGGGCTTCCGGTCAGAAAATTGGAATGTTACTCTTATCTTTGCCTCGTTGTTTCGGGCTCGAGGAAAGGGGGTGAGTGTTGGTTGTGACAAGCCTCGAGAAGCGGCAAACATGACCAAGTGTGGTCGTGGAAGAGTGGGAAAGTGTGTGCGAGGTGGGGAAGTGCGATTGCCGAACGAAACGTTTAGCTGAATACAGCATATAATTTCCAAAAGTCTGTAGCTGAGTACGGCAAGGTTCTGCCGCCAATTTTGAAAGAATTTGAAATGACGTAGGACTACGTTTCCCTTCGCGAATGTGTTAAAAAGGAAAACATTTTCCTGGAACGGGAGATTATTGTTGATTGTATTACCGACGCGAGAACAGATCTGAGTCGTTTAGTCTTTTTGCAGTATCAGTTGTATTATAGTTTCGCCCGCGTTAATTTCAATCATTAACCCTTTCGCTACGGCAGATTTTAATGCGTAACGTGGGCGACTGGCGGTAAATTTTTAACCACGGCTGCAAAATTTCTGAATTTGACCGTATCGTTTCAAAATTCGGTTTGTTAAATTAAGATGGAAATGCGTATAGGATAAAATTAAGCATTAAATTAAGACGGAAGAGCACCAAAAGGCGCCAACAGTACAGTGCGAGCAAATTTTCAAAACGCCTATAGGCGCCAATAGTAACGAAAGGGTATATCAATAAACTGCAACATCTTTTATTTTACCACACTTTTCTCACACATCTCTAAACGCAGCATGGAATTTACATCGAGTGGCTGGGAATGTATCAGAATCGATTCGAGGGCAGGTTGTTCACGCGGCACACGCTCGATCCGCCCTTTCCCTCGACGGCGGCGCGCGACAGGGTGAAACGGGGGTTGTTCATTTAAAATCATGACGTGGAGCGTGGGGCGCAGTCACGGCGGAGGCGTTAGTATTAACGTTAGGTGCCGGCACAGACCAGGGCCACCTACAAGAACTTCGTACAACGGTTTCACCCCCTTACCGCCGGTGACATATTGTTTCCATTCTGCTCTCAGGCTAAAGCGCAATAAAAAACTGGCATAAATATCGCCGCCCTCGGCCTGCCGCGACACCGATACCGTGGACCAGGCTGTGGCCCGCGTAAGAACGAACAGGCCCCGAATACCGACCGTGTATATCTACGTACAACTACGTGGAAATGTTCTTTCGCACAAGCGACGGAGAAACGGCCGGGGACTAATTTGTCTGAGTGGCTTTTTCGACGGTTAAAGGGCGCCGCGGATTGCGAGCAACCATCTTTCCGGCCTTTGCGAATTTGTGGCGGTGGGCTGGATTGTGGCGCGTTTAAATCGCCCTGTGGGAGAATTTATTGATTCGATAAACAGGGAATAATTTGTCAGAATTATTTTGCGTCAAGTTTATGGTTATTATATTTAAATTACTATTTATTATTAGATTTAGTTCGTATTACTGTCGCAGCCTGTTAATCAAGATTCAACGTTTCTTTTTTAATTTACATCCATAGAATTGGAAAAAATTTGGACACTGTGTATGTAAGGTGGTCTGCCTAACGTAACTATTGTACTTCAATTATTCTCGGTATTAGTGGAGCGATCGAAATCTTTTTTGTCGCAGAGAATACAGTTTTGAAGGATCTTCAATGTGACGACCTGAGATCTTTTCAGATAAGTTTTCAAGCTCACGTTTAATTTTCTTTTGTACAACCCTACATTTTTTTGCCTATTAGCTGGCGTAGAGACGACTTCATGGACCTCAATATAATGCGTTTTTATAACGTACAAAAATTGAGCTTGAAAATTTATTTAAAGAAAGGACGTAGAAGAAATGGAAGATCGTCACCTCGAAGATCCTTTGAAACCGTATTTTCCAGGGCAAACAACATTTTGATCAGTGCAGTATTATGGAAAATAGTCGAGGTGGTTACGTTAGGTGAATTATTTTGTATAAAATTTTGTTTATTCGTATGTTCTTTGTTAACTCCTAAACCCTTTGACCGATCTGGACCAAATTTTGCATAGTTACTCTCTACTATCCTGCGGAAAATATAGACTAACGTAAAACTTGGATATTCTACCCTTTCTCCCTGATTTCATCCCCTTAGTACAGAACAAAGTGATAAGCTATGCGAATTTGAAAATTGCACAAATGCTTATAATCTGCGTAAATATAAAAAGTAATTGAGCTAGTGTGTTATAAAAATGGGAGTTTCAACAGCGAGAGCATACGTTAAACAGAAATTATGGTTCCCGTCCTTAATCCTTGAATCAGTTTTCTAAGGTGCTCAGGATGTTGATTTTTGAACTTTCGCGTGCTTACAGTAGTTCAATTGCAGAGATTAAATATTGAAAGTAGGTCTCGTTAATTCAGCAAATTAGAAATTCGTTTTTTAAGCTTCTATATTAACCAAGGTAACATTTGTTTAATTCTGTGGGTATTTGAAAACAGCAAAGAAGAGAATTAAATAGCAAAATATGATAAAGATACTTGTGATTATGAAACCAAGATTTCAGGTATTTCTCTGCAATGTTACACACTATTCTCGATAAAAGTGGTTCGATAGCAAGTTACATTAAGAATTTACGATCCGAGGTAAAGAATAATTGATCTCTCGGGGTGTAAAGTATCGTGTACGTTTTATCAATACTCCATTGAGCTTTAAATGAAATTGTACTTACAGCGTGACAGGTTCTTCAGGGCTTGATGGTGAAATTGAGAGCGACATGGTGGTGGTTAGACATCGTGATGTACCTGGCGACCTAACTCGATCATCCACCTAAAAACAGAAATCATAGAATTACTTATCAAATACACTCTCTTCTTCACAAATTTACGAATGCGTTAAATTTGACTTTCTCACGAAACACATTGCAAAATAATTAAATGTCGTTTTGCACTGTTTTTACAAAATTCGTACAATTTTTCACATTTCACGTATTTCAATAAAAGGAGAAAAGAAGGAATAGGATTCCACGCAGAGTGGAAAATAATTGGTAACAATATGTACACAATACGAGCTTAGGGGAATGGTATAGTGTGTAAGATCAGCTCGACACGGTCCATTCGAAGAGATTATGCATATGAAGGAGTTGAAAAATACGGAAGAAACATTTCTCCATGGATCTTTCGAATTCTTTGCACGATCCTTGCTGTCGTCGATGGGGAATTGAGCAACAGGTAGAGCAGATATGTCCTCGAGGCATCATGCTCGACAGAGCATACGCGTGATTTACTGTATAAGTGACTCATCGAAAGCACCCTTTTTTCCTTTTATCTTCGTTTCGCTACTCGAAACGAAACGTGAAGGAAATAATTCTTTTACTTAGGTCCTGTCTTGGGGAACGGGAACCGAGAATTTATACTCGAGGGTGAACCTCATATTTTCTGATGAATTATCAATTGCGCTGCTCTGGAAATTTTATTATATCGTTATTTTCTACATGTGTTGTAATTATGTCCGTTTGATATATGCTCATTGTTCGAATTAAATTTTTGTCGGGATAGAAGCTTTTTCAGTTCGAATTGAGAATGAATGAAATAAAATATAAAATATTAAGTATGTTATAAAATACCAATTTTACAATTGAGGCCATTGATAGAAAAAGGGAACCTATGCTTATGTACGTATGGAATATATCAAGGACATATTACTCCTCCTTTAGATTTAATTACTTTTTATTAAAATCGATCTTCTTTAAATGGCATTTTGGCGCATGTGCCCTTTTTCCATCAAAAGCCTCAACATTAATCACATTTGCCCGCAATCCAAACATATATTTTAAAAATTGCACAAATTACAACCTTATCTTTTACTACATTATACATGATACTAAAGTTCATCATAAACGTGTAACTCTGAAATTCGCAAATATTTAACTGTCTCAATTAAAACGTTATAATAAATGAACGAATAAAAAAGTGAAATAGTATTCTTCCGAAAAAGTAGCCTAATTTTTCATTCTCCTAGTAAATGCCAGCGATACTCTTAATCGAGAGGCCAGTAGGCAGTCACAATCGCGATCGGCTGGAGTTGACAAATTCAGTCGAAATTGAGCGACTTCCGTCCCATCCCTCCTGCTTTCCAAAGAAATATTACGGCCATATTTTTCTCCCGTGAACGATCACTGAAGCTCTCCCGCGATTTCCAAGGGATTAATAACGGCAGTAGACCGTTCTACGACAATCGTAGAGAGAAACAAACGCAGCCTGGGGCAAGTGGACCAGACTCGCGCCGACATCAATCTGAACGAGCGAGCCGCGCCCCTAACGAGCCACCGGGTCATATAAATTTTATTGCCATTTCATAAATCCCGGCGACCACCGCGAGTAACCGTTCCGTCGCTCTCTGCGAGATTATCAGGAACGTATAAAGTTGCGGATCGTCGCCCCCCGTTTACTGTCTTTCGCGACGCGGCGAGAACTTGTCTGACTTTTGCTTGCGATCGAGTAGGCGATTTTATTTTAAAATTTTAGTGATTTCGATTCTGACGGAAGTTTTTACAGGTTGCGATAAGTGATATTTGTTGGTTAGTACTCAATTGGGTAGGTTAATGAAATTTTCAACGCGTGTGATTTTAGGAAAAATGTGAAATTTATTAAGTTCTTAAAAAAAAGTTTGAGAACAATTTATTTTCGGTCGAAATAAATTTAAAAAGTTGCGGATCGTTGTCCCGTTTACTGTCTTTCGCGAACATGCTCGGATAATGTGTCTGACTTTTGCTTGTGATTCGAAACATTTGACAATTTATTTTTGGTCAAAATGAACTTTTGTCGAAGTAAAAAGTGATCAGTGGAATTTGATCTCGAATTCTATGGTTAACTTTCGTACACAATTCGCCATTTGACAGTAAAATAATTGAGAAATTCGGGCTAGCTTCGAGTTTTGAATTAAAAATTAATTTATAACTAATTAGCAAGTCCTATCTAGCAGTATATTTGAGAACGAAATTCTCATATCGGTCATTTCATATGCAACAGCCTAATGTTATGAAAAATCTTTATACATAGAATGATAGACTAAGTATAAAGGATAAAATAACAAAAAAATTGTTAAAAATAAGACGTTCTTTAAGGACGATACGACAGCCAATTAAATTGTTTATAAGAAATTGAGAGTAATAATAGTTGCAGAACTTCATTAAAACTTTCTGATGGATAGAAATAAGCAAACAAGTAGATACAGTGATTCAAAGTCAGACCTAACCTATAAAAACGTTACCCTCAAGTGAAACAAGCTTACTATAGAAAATATTAAAAATGTATTATAAATAAACTCTGCAGTAAATTTCACACACAAAATTTTTCTATACACCTTCAAAAAATTATTTCATTGTTACATATAATTTTCTTAACTATAACAAATTATTTCATATTTATGAATAGATACTTATCTTTGAAGATTTAACCTTCGAGACTTTCTAGGCATCGAAGTGTCGCGGGTGGTCATATTTCAGGGGCTTTGTCTAGACCACACGCGAAATGTGTAAGTGTACTTCAATTTTAAAGCATAGATATAAATGTAAAACAACCGCGTAGGCAGGGAGTGGAAGAATGGAAACGGCAGGATTATATTTATAATAAATAAGACAGAAGTACGTTCGCGAGAGACGAAACGGGAGCACAGTTAATTCAGTTTTATACGACAACACTTCCGATCCACGGTAAGCCGGCGACAGTCTCCAGTTCCTTCCCTCGCGTTCTCTTCATCTTAACGCAAAGACGAACCAGAACCTGATTTACATTTCTTTCTCTCCTCGCTATAAAAATTCCGCGACGATAACTTCCTTTGTTCCACCCTCTATGGTCGCCGGCACGAGCAACCCCTGCGGCTGGAAAGCCACGGGGAGTCCCCGTAACACCGACTAGTTTTCGGTTTACATTACATTTTTTCTTCTTCTTTTTTTCCTTAATTAAAGGCACTGCAGATTCGCAGGCACGTCGAAAAATGTCCTCTGCGCCTCGTGCGGTGTAATTTATTGAAACATTCTACTTTATTCGGTTTAATTGCATTAAGAATGATAATAAAAGGACGAGAAATAGTGAGAATTTTTATTTGTTGCGGTTAAAAAATTGTGACACTTATCTGGAAAATTTGTGGGACACCGAAAGTAGTGCAATATACAGAAATTCTGCACATATTTGCATGAAAGCAAATTTTTTCCTTGGTAATGTGAAATATGGTCGGACGCTGTTTATATTGTTTTTTAGGAACTTGAACTGTCTATATGAAAGAAAATTAACACTTTACTGTTTCTTTGGAGGAACACTAAAAATTCTGGTGTGCCCTATCATTTTAACGCGAAGTGTACTATATTTCGTTCTTATTTTTATTTGTTTGCAATAAATAGAAATTGCAGCAAGATTTTCAAGGAAGTCTCTCAAATCACCCTCAAATTTCAACTGTTCTCCGCCCTCAAAATTGGCCATTTAACATTTTAACATCAACACTCTTCTGAAGCACCCTATAAAAGACCAATAATCTTACTTTGTCCAATTTCAATTAGATACAAATGATTATATTAGAAAAAAACTAACACTTTACTATTTCATTGGAGGAACGCTAAAAATTCAGATGTAATTCAGGTAAATGAGTATATATTTCCATTTCTTTTTTTGTCATAAGTAAAAATTGCGTCAATTACCCCAAAATTTCAACTATGACTCACCCTCAAAATTGGCCATTTAACATTTTAACATTAACACCCTTTCGAAGCACCCTGTAGCAGGCAAACAGTCTTACTTTGTCCAGTTACAATTATTATAACAATCCAATCAAAATCCAGACACTCTCAATAATCTTCCTTCCTAAAAATTCCCAATCTACATATATCATCAACTCCACTCGATACACCCTTCTCCAAAATACTAAACCCCAAGCACACCTACCACATACCTATTTAACTCTTCAAACCGTCGATCATCGATCATCATTGAACCGGTGAAATTTCGTACCGAGGGAAGAAGAGCCGAACGCGGAAGAAGAAGAAGAGAGATAGATAGAGGGAGAAAGGGAGGCAGCTAGGATCGAAATGTAATTAAGAGAGCAAATAATCCGAGCCGAACAAACTCCGTGAAATGGATCAAAGAACTCGGAACCGGGAGCGAGACGAAAGGAGGGGGAGGGAGAAAAAGGAAGGACATGCACCGATAGAGGCGCGTCGTTGAAAGGTAGGAGCAGGACTACGAGCAAGCTTCACCCTGTCGTCGTGCTGTCTAGCCCGAAGGAGTAGGGCAACGAGGGGCCTCGGCAAAGACCCTCGATAAATATTTCCGTCAAGTGACCGGGGTTGGAATTCAAAGAGAGCCGAAAGGTGGAATCGAGAGCGAAACGAGTCCATCCTCTCTTTAGCCCGGCAGTTCAAGGGACGGTCGACGAGGAGAAACGACGAGAAGGATGGGGAGGGGGTGGGTGGACTGGCAAGCCCGGTATATTTGCGTTACGTTACGTAGTTGCGCGTTTAATCAGCCGTATACCCGGAAAGGGCGCGTGTGACAGAGGGAAGAAGGAAAAGAGAAACCGCCTCGACTTCCGGATACCAAAGAAGGACGGGGCTTGAACAGCCTTCTACCTTTTGTGCGGCCAAAGAGGCCAGATTCTGTTTACCACCGGACTCTGATTCGTCGTCGTCGTCTACTCGTGCAACGTGAATCGTTGTATTCTTCAGATTTCCCTTTCTATGGACTGTATCTCCTTTTTTGTACGTTAAATGTAGGTACATGGTTTTTGTACGTTTTACTGTAAATTGTATTTTTAAATGGATCAAGTTGGGTCTCAGA